TATTTTATGTCCTTTATGTAATAATTCCTAGGGGCCTGTAGAGGAAGGTTGTGCCTTCACTGCATCTGGCAAAGTTGGGGCTAACACTGAATGCAGCTGTATTGCCTGGGGTCAGATAACCACCCAGTTCTCTACCTGCATAACCCTCCCCTCTATGAACTGGAATGGATGATGCGAGACAATTGCTAGAACAGTATTGGTCCCTGCAGTCCAAGCCAGCACAGCAGCAGAGCCTAGTGTTCCTTCCAAAATTATAAATGTTTAGTATAAATGAAGAGAAGGAGAAATAGTTGTTGAGGGTAAATGAATGAACACGTGGGTTATGTAATGAGGAAAATCCAATGTTACATGAACTACTCGAAAGAGGTGTAAGCAAGAGATGATATTGTCTCTTAGCTCGATTTCACCAGATGCCTGAAAGGGTGCAGCCATATGTTGCTGAGACTATTCCTATTTTTGGACTGCACTGGGACAATTGCTAATGACCAAAGAGGATTCTGGTAATGTACCAGGATCTTTTTACTGTTATGATTCTTCTGGTGTAGGAGATCTGTGATTGGTCAGGCATAGTGGCTCACACTTGTAATTCCATCAGTTTGGGAGGCAATGGTAGGAACATTGTTTAAGGCCAGGAGTTTGAGATCAGCCTTGGCAAAATAGTGAGACTCATTCTTATAAAATATTTAAAAATTAGTTGGGCATGGTGGTGTGCACCTGTAATGCTATCTACTCAGGAGGCTGAGGCAGAAGGATCACTTGAGTCCAGGAATTCGAGGTTACAGTGAGCTATGATTGTGCCACTGCATTCTACCCTGGGCAACAGAGCAAGAGATCATCTCTGAAATAAAATAATAAATATAATAAAAAGAGATAATGTGGTCAAAACCAGGGTGTGATCTGTGGTCCAATAAAAATATTTGGTCTATGTCCCTGTTTCCTGACAACCGGGTTCTAGATCATTGGCAATCTCCTTAGTGATAAACATGACTTCAAAATGGCAGTGAGATGACTGTGGGGTGAGGGGCTCCTAGATAGCTTCAGAATGGGGGCTGATTGCCAGAAACATGAAGCCATGATTAGAGGATTGGAACTTTTAGCCCCATCCCTAAAGTCTGGGAAGGAAAGAGAGGCTCCAGGTTGAGTTCCGTCACACAATGGCCGGTGATTTAATTAATCTTGCCAAACAATGAAATTTCCATAGAAACCTCTAGAGATTGGGTTTCGGACAGCTTCCCAATTGGTGAGCACATCCGTGTGTCCACATGTGGGGAGGATGGTGAACTCCATCTCCATGGGGACAGAGGCTCCTGTGCTCAGAGCCCTTCCAGACCTTACCCTGTGCACCTCTTCATCTGGCTGCTCATTTGTATCCTTTATAATTGCTATGGTTTGAATGGTTCCCCAAAAAAGTATCTGTTGGATATTTCATCCCGAATGCAATATCCAATGGGACCTTTGAGAGGTGATTGGACCATCAGAGCTCTGCCTTCATTAGTGGATTAAGGCTCATCATAAAAGGACCTGGGGCTGTGAGTTTGATCTCCTTTTCCCCCTACCTCTCACCCTCTCTTGCCCTTTTGTTTTCTACGAGATACAGTCTCTTGATCTGGGAATTCCCATCCTCCACACCATGAATGAAACAAATTTCTGTTTGTTATAAGTTATCCAGTCTCAGGTGTTCTGCTATAGTGGCATAATTTAAACCAGAGGTCCCTAACCCCCGGGCTGCGGACTGGTACAAGTTTCTGGCCTGGTAGGAACCAGACCGCACAGCAGGAGGTGATTGGTGGACAACAGAGCATGAGCATGACCACCAGAGTTCCGCCTCCTGTCAGATCAGTGGCGGAATTAGATTCTCATAGAAGCACAAGCCCTATTGTGAGCTCTGCATGCGAGAGATCTAGGTTGCATGCTCCTTATGAAACGCTAATGCCTGATCATCTGAGGTGCAACAGTTTCATCCAAAACCATTTCCCTCTGCCTTCCGCCACCTCCACTGGTCCATGGAAAAACTGTCTTCCGTGAAACTGGTCTCAGGTGCCAAAAAAGTGGGGATTTAAGCTATAACAATAAAAAAAGTGTAATACTAAGTGTGAAAGGAAAATAGAATTTCAGGACTCCAAATTCACTATACCAAAGGGAAAAATTAAGTTTGGAGACTGAGTGATGGAAAAACTGCCTTTCTTTTGTTCCTAAACAAATAACTACAAAGACAGAAGACCCCATATCTCCCCAGGTGGCCTCCCTCACAAACTGCTCACAAGACAATTCCTTGTGGGCCCCAATATCTTTACTTTAAAATAGAGTTTTGTTGAATTTCCCCCAACAATGTAAATTAACAGCTTATCTTCACAGGTACAAGACAAAGACAAGATTAGACATCATCCCTTCACCCACTCGGTGACTTTTCTACCCAACGTTTACTTTATCTTACGGAAAATGCAGATTTACTGAGCATGAGATGAATGCATAGTTGACTGTTTTTTTCCTCTCCTGGCCGCTCTTTCCCCTATAAATATTTCCGTCCTCAAAACCCTGTTAGGAAAAAGCATGGGCCACAGATGCTACAATGATTTGTGTCTCTGTTTCCAACGTGCATCTTCAGCTCGGCAAAATGAACTTCTAAACTGACCGAGACCTGTCTCAGACGTTTTTTGGTTTACGTGACTATAGCAACGTCCTGAGTCTTTGAGTTAATTTAAGAATTCTCAAACCTTGGGAGGTGAGAGACCCTTGACTTTGCAGCCATTATAGACAGAAGTGCAGGTAACCTGGGACCCGATACTTGTGACTTGCATCTTAAGTGAGGACAGAGTTGTGTAACTGAGCCCTTAGACCTGTGGAGCCTGAGGTGAACTCCAGGTAGTTAGTGTCAGAATTGAGTCGAATTGTAGGACTCCCAGCTGCTGTTAGAGAATCAGAAAGTTATTTGGTTGGAGGAAAACCCCATCACCGTCCCACAGAGAGAAACTTAGAATAACAGTAAACAAGTACACCTCTATCTTTTTGGTCCCAGAGGAAAAGATAAACAAAATGTAAGCATTTATTTCATGTCCCTCATCTACTAAACACAGGTTACTACCAGCTGTTCATTGTCCAGACGTGGAGTGGTCCTACCTCTAACCTAGAAGTTAGGATTTTTTAGGCCTTTGAGGCTGTCACATAAAAACTAATAAATGTTAGAGATTCTCTCCCCAGAAATATTTCCACACACAAGAAAATATAAATATTAATATAAAACATCGGTGTGGACTCAGATCCTCTGAGATCTTACAAACCTGGGTGTTTTAATCCTAGTAAGAGACAATGCTGAAGGGAGGTGTTTGAATAATCATTTCATTATCACACAATGCCACTCCAATAATCTAGACTATAAACTGTGATAGACAAAAACTTGATGTAAAAATCTATCCTTAAGGGAATGGGTGGAAATACGTTATTTATTAGTCACTGGTTCATTCAGCCACTCTGCGTGCCTACCAGGTACCAGGTAAAGTTCTCTTCCTGGATCACTGCTCCAATAATTAAAATTTGTCACTTTTCCGCACCCCTCACATCCAGCACTTGAACCCTCTTACTGCACCAAAATTCTACACTGTCGGTGAAAAGAGTCAAACTCGGTAACATATTTGAAGAGATTTATTCTGAGCCAAAAGTGAGGGACCACAGCCCATGACGCAGTCCTCAGGAGACCCTGAGAACATGTGCTCAAGGTGGTTGGGGCACAGGTTGGTTTTATATATTTTAGGAGGATATGAGATATCAATCAAATACATTTAAGCTATACATTGTTTCGGTCCAGAAAGTTGGAACAATTTGAAGCAAGCAAGGGTTGCAGGGTAGTGCTTCTGGGTTATAATTAGATTTTTAATTTTTCTGATTGGCAGTTGGTTGAGTTACTATTGATAGAAAGGAACATCTGGGTTATGATAAGAGGTTGTGGAGTCCAAAATATTCTCATGCAGATGATTCCTCCAGGTGCCAGGCTTCAGAGAGAATAGACTGTAAATGTTTCTGATCAGATTTAAGGTCTGTGTTGGTGGTAAATGCTGGCCAGCTTTTCCTGAACTCCAAAAGGGAAGACGGCATAATGAGGCATGTTCAACACCTGCTTCCCATGGTGGCCTCAGTCAGTCTTTCAGGTTAACTTTTGAGCACCCTGGCTGAGGGTGTCAATTGAGACTGTTAGGAGGGGGTTGCTTTGATGTTTATTTTTGGTTTACAACATGCAAGATGTTGAGATGAGACAGAAACCACCTCCCTCCCTGGAAGAGGACAACACTCCAGTCACCCCTGCAGTTGATCATGGACATGCGTCTTAAGCTCCACCAGTCCGATGACCACCTGCTGAAGACGTGTCGTTGTCCTAGGTAAATACTAAGGGTGTGTCATCTCACACCAAAAAGACTAAGGACACTGACACACGAAGTGTAAGTTTAGGAGCAAAGGGTTTAATAGGCAAAAGAAAGACAAAGGGGAACGGCTCTCTTCTTGTGAGAGAGAGGGGCACCCAAAAGGGAATTCAGGCCTGGAGTGGGAATGCATTGGATTTTACAGGCAGGCTTGAGGAGATGGTGTCTGATTTATGTAGGGCCCACAGGTAAGTTGGACCAGGTGTGATATTTACATAGTGCAAGTGGAAGGCTGTTCACCCCACCCTCATCCTATTATACAAATGGACTTTCCACTTGGCCGGCGCCATATTGTCTGCTCCTTACTGTAAGGAAGGAGCCTGGCAAAGAGAAGGGAAGATGGAGTCGCCATTGTGAACATGCCCAGTCCCAGGTGTCCTATTCCTATTGGCACAGCTGCCGGCATTCACCCGTGCAAGCTTCCAGCTTACTTGTTTATGTCTGAAGCTTGATATTACAGGCTGCACCTTGTTAGAAAAGAAAATAGTTTGGAGCCTGCTTTTCATTAAAAACCTTCCGTACCCTCACTACCTGTCTAAATAATTTCTCTTTCACTCCTATATCACTGCCAGACTCTGAGCCAGAATGCGGTGACAGAGAGGCTGGGACTGTGCAGAAAACATTTTAGTAAAGATGGCTGAGTGATAGTAGTGATGTCCAGTTTCCAGGTGCAGCAGCGACATCTGTCCTGGCCTCAGGGTCCAGGGTCCAGCACCAGGTGTCAGAGGTGTGAGCAGTGGCGTCTGTGCTCAGCAGCAGGGGCAGTTGTTCTTAGGAGGGACCTGATCCAGGGTGAGCTGTGGATTCTGTTCCTGGATGTGTAGGTTCCAGCCTGCTTCTGTGGCCACCCCCACAATAAAACTAGCCCCCAATACCAGATATACGACTTTATGTGTACATTACAGAAATGTGTTTTCCATAGTTTGCTCCAAGAAGTGAGTGGGAAATGAGTCTGTGGGCGGGTGTCAGAGAGCAGCATTCACAGGTGTTCCTTTTGTGAGAGCCACATCCTGAGTTGTCTACCTGGCCTCTACTCCACTGTGGAGAGATCAACAGGGAATGTCACATCTCATAGCTGATGATACATATCCTCCCTTTTCTTTCTGTGAGGAAAATCCTCTTTTTAACAGGGTTTGAAAACCTACCCCACCCACCCACTCTGGGCACTCTCTGATCACTGATCTCAGTGGTTCCTGATTTGGTTGAGCAACAGGATTGCTGGCGGGGGCTTAGAAAATACTCAGGCCACTCCCCAGAACACCTGTCTCAGAGTATTACGCACAAGACCAAGGAATCGTTTATATAACAAGCCCTAGAGGTGAGGCTGTTGCTCAGACATGTGGGATCCTGGTGTTCTTGATCTGGAGACCAGCAACATGAGCTCCAGCCTTTTCATAAATCAAGAATCCCTTGCTCGACTGCAGACTTCCTGGATCTCAGCACCACGTCCAGGTGATCCCTGTTCACACAGCAGTTCCTTGTCTAAGTGTCCTCTAGACTTGGGGTCAGAACTGTGCAGTATGCTCTGGGTGTAGTCTGATCACATCCCTTAGAACTGGAGGTCCAGGAATCAGTCCTTGCCCTCATTATTTTCCACAGTCAATCACTGCCTTGGTGCCCTCATCCATGCTTGAGGTTTTAAGTATCGTTTATATGGTGTGACCTCCTAAATCTATTTCTCCTGCCCAGTCTATTTCTCCTTTCCTCTAAACTCCGGAGTTGTCTCTCCAAATTCCACTCCAGCTCCCCGACCTGCATTTCTAGTAGACATGTCCACTGAGTGCCTGTGATGCCCCCTCCTCAGTATGCTCCTGCCAGAGTCTCCCCATCTCCACTGACAGCAGCTCCACCCTTCCTTCTACTCACTTATTTTACAACTATGTGTGTCCTTGATTCGTCTTTTTCATACCACAGATACAATCCATTGGCAAATGCTGTCAGTTCATCTTCAAATGCATCCAGAATCCCCTCACGTCCCACTCTTTCCCCTTCTCATGCACTAGTCAAGGTAACTCACATCTCCAGCCTGGAATACGGCACTCCCTTCCTACTGTTTTCCCTTCTGCCTCCCTCGTCCGTCACCTCTCAATTCTGTTCTCAGCACAGCAGTCAAAGATCCTTTTAAAAGAGAAGTTATATCATGGCCCTCTTCTGCTCAAAACTGTCCTCTGGCTCTTCATCCCACTCAGAGCAAAGGTCAGATCCAACCCCATTCCCCTCAAGCCCACCTGCTCTGGCCGCACCTCTGACCTCACCTCAGTTTCCCTCTGTCCAGCCCTCCTGGCCTCCTTGTTCTTCTGGGAACACAGACACTTTCCTGCCATAGTGCATTTGGACTGGAGGTTCCTCTGCCTGGAAAGAACTTCCCCAGACATCCTCACGTCCCTCAAATCCTTCCTCAAAGGTCACCTTTGCAACAAGGCACACACTGACTAGCCAGCACAACAGCCACCTTCCCTGTCCCCACTGCCCACATCCTGGATCACCTGCCTCACAGCACTTACCACTTTCTAGCACTTTCCTGCCTTACTCTGGTAATAGTTATAGTGTATCTATCGTCTGCCTCTTCCCACTGGAACATACGCTACAAAAGGCCAGAGATTTTTCTGATTTTACTTCAGTGGTGTTCCCCAGATGCAGAACCATTCTGTCCCATGTCTGGCCAACAACAAACGTCAGTTGAATGAATGATCACTGTAGAGCACCTCCCTATTCTAAAGGCAGTACTTTATTAACATAGCCTCAGGCCAAATGCTGTTCTGTGGCAGCTACCGCACAAGGTCCCCTCACACTGAGATAGAAGCCGCCTATGTTTTTCTCAGCAGTGGTGCTTGTGTGTCCTCCCTCCCCCATCCCTCTTTCTACAGCAACGCCCCCCTGCACCCCCCCAACCCAGCACACCGCAACTCACAACCAGGTTCTCTCTTCAGGAAAGAACAGTCCTTGATATGGGTCCAATTTCAGAGACAAATGTAAGTCTAAATTAGACTCTGCTTTATAGATTCATGATTTGGGATTAGATTCAGCACCAAGATCACTAGAACCAGAGAGAGGGCAGGAGAGCAGAGCAGAACAGAAGGTCTAGAAGCAGGGCAGGAGGTGAATGGCTCTGAACATTTGTCTCAGAATACACAGAGACCCCCGTATGCAGGGGCCGCCCTGGGCAATATCTGAGCCTCTGTGGTCACAGCTCCCACTGGACAAGTTTCCACTGAAGGGACAAGGACAATGGAGCAGTGAAGGTGACCCAGCTGAGGACTGACCACATAAAGCCCACGAAGAACAGAACAGCAACTAGGCACAAGCCCAGTCCACAATGGGCTCCTCACAGCCTTCTTCACCCCGACCTGCAACAGACTCAGCACAGTGAACAAGCGGATTCTGGAAGGTTCTCAGGTCTTTATTTGCTCTCTCAGATTCTAGGATTTGACTTATTTAATTAATCCATCAAGCTCTCATAGCAAATATTTGAGAAAACAAATTTCTATTCAGATTCTTATTTTCAGTAGGGAAGTAAGAAGTTGCAGCTTAGTGCACATAAAGTTGAGACTGAGATGGAGACATCCAGCCCCACCTCTCTGGAACAGGAAAGATCACTGGGGAGGAAACACTGGTCAGCGTGGGAACAGGGGTCATGGGGGACACAGGGGTGGGCTGTCCCTCCACCTCCTCACATTATGCTAACAGGGACACAGACACATTCAGATGCCTTTGCAGAAAGAGATGCCAGAATCTCTTCAAGTCACAAAAGGGAGGTATGAAGAAATCCTGCACCTCAGTCCCACACAAGACAGTTGTCTCAGGCTACAGAAAACAAATCATGAACAAATTCAAGTCAGTCATGGTAAGTGATGACACTCTGAACAGCCACCACACACTTGAAACGTCACAATCAAAGAATCTCCATTACGCAGGCCTTTCCCCTCTGATCCCCCCGCCCCTCCACCCTAGACCCCAAGAATCTCACCTTTTCAAGCCGTGAGAGACACATCAGAGCCCTGGACACTGTCACTGGCTGGAGTAGAACAAAAACAGGAGCTGGTCAGAGCCCGCAGGAGACATGGGACAGGAGGAATTATGGGATGGGTGAGCTCCTCCACACTCCCACCCCCACCACTTACATGCAGCCTGAGAGTAGCTCCCTCCTTTTCCACCTGTGGGAAGAAAATGTCCTGGGAGGGGACTGGGAGGAAGCAGGGCCATAAGATCTTAGAGGAACCTCGTAGTCTTGAACCCAAGAGAAATTTCCAGAATGATGACTATAGACCCAGGGCAGGATCAGGAAACAGGAGGAAAGCAGCTGTGTGTCCTGGATCAACTGCCCTTCTAAGGTCTGTCCTTAGAGGGACCTTACCCTGACTCGTGAATGCTGGAATCAGGACCCCAGTACCATAATCATCAAGGTGATACATCCGTCCTTCATTGTCACATGTGCTACACAACAGATTAAGAGCTGGCACACAGGGCCCCAGGCTGGGTTAGCCCCTGTGTGGATGCTGCTTCCCAGTAATGACACAGGGAACACTTCTACCCGGTGCTTGAAACCCCCAGTGGGATAAGAAAACCCAGATCCCACCCCTCACCCCTTCCCTACCTGAGCTCTTCCTCTTCCACAACACAGCAGCGACCACAGCTCCGGTGACCACAACTGCTAGGACAGCCAGGCCAGCAACAACGCCCACGATGGGGATGGTGGACTGGGAAGATGGCTCTGGGAAAGGAGGGGAAGATGAGGGGTCCTGACCCTGCTGAAGGGCTCCAGAAGGGCTCCTGCTTTCCCTGAGAAGAGACATGACCCCTCATCCCCCTTCTTACCCCATCTCAGGGTGAGGGGCTCCGGCAGCCCCTCATGTTGCACATGGCACGTGTATCTCCCCTCTTCTCCAGAAGGCACCACCACAGCTCCCCACTTCTGGAAGGTTCCATCTCCTCCTGGTCTGGTCTCCACAAGCTCAGTGTCCTGAGTTTGCTCCTCCCCATCCCGCTGCCAGGTCAGTGTGATCTCCTCAGGGTAGAAGCCCAGGGCCCAGCACCTCAGGGTGGCCTCATGGTCAGAGACGGGGTGGTGGGTCACGTGTGTCTTTGGGGGATCTGATGGGAAGAGTCAGAAAATTCAGGCGCTTTGCATCTCTCATGGGACACCCCAGCAGCACGCATGTGACCACTCTGAGAATGGACAGGACACCTGGGGTGGGGAAGGGAGCACAGAACCCAGACACCAGCCTGGACACAGGCACCTGGGATAATCTCCTATTCCTTGGAGAGTTCTAGTCTCTGAGGGAGGAACAGGGACTTCTGGTCCTGACCCGAGTGGAGGCCGAGGGACTCAGAAAAGCTGGAATCAGACCTTCAAACACATTGAGTGTGAGGCAGAGAACAAGGCCTGAGAGAAAAATTCATGGTGCCCAAGGCTGCTGCAGGAGTCAAAGGGGACCCCTGATCAGTATTCTAGGGACTGTCTTCCCCTCCATGTCCTCAGAGACGTCATCCCTTAATTGTCCTAGAGAGCAGAGGGGGCCCTCAGAGGAAATCAGGGAAACTCATGCCATTCTCCATTCAAGGGAGGGCGACATTCTAGCGCTGATCCCATTTTCCTCCCCTCCTCGTGGGAGGCCATCCCCGGTGATCTAGAGGTGATGGGGAAGGCTCCCCACTGCTCCTGGTACCCGCGCGCTGCAGCATCTCCTTCCCGTTCTCCAGGTGTCTGCGGAGCCACTCCACGCACGTCCCCTCCAGGTGGGCTCTTATCTGTTCCGCCCAACCGGCCGCCTCCCACTTGCGCTGGGTGTTCTGAGCCGCCTCATCCGCAGCGGTCCAGGAGCGCAGGTCCTCATTCAGGGCGATGTAATCCCTGCCGTCGTAGGCGTACTGTAGATACCCGCGGAGGAGGCGCCCGTCGAGCCCCAGGTCGCAGCCGCACATACTCTGGAGGGTGTGAGACCCTGGCCCCGCCCCCGCGGTCAGCCGGTCCCCGGAGCCCCGCCCCGCCCCGACCACCCCGCAGGGATTTTGGCCTCAACTGAAAATGAAACCGGGTAAAGGCGCCTGGGGGTCTCCCCGGTCGAGGGTCTGGGCGGGTCCCGCGGCCTCGGGGCGGATCTCGGACCCGGAGACTCGGGGAGACCCGGGCCGTCCGTCGGGGATGGGGAGGGGTCGTGACCTGCGCCCCGGGCCGGGGTCACTCACCGGCCTCGCTCTGGTTGTAGTAGCGGAGCGCGGTCCGCAGGGTCCCTCGGTCAGTCTGTGCGACGTCCTTGGCTATCCGTGTCTGCTCTTCCCAATACTCCGGCCCCTCCTGCTCCATCCACCGCGCAGGTTCCGCAGGCTCACTCGGAAAGTTTGTGCGACGTCCTGAGTCTCCGTGTCTGCCTTTTCCCAATACCCGGCCCCCTGCTCCATCCACGGCGCCCGCGCTCCATCTCGGACTTCGCGTCGCTGTCGAACCGCACGAACTGCGTGTCGTCCACGTAGCCCACGGAGATGAAGTGGGGCTCCCCGCGGCCGGGCCGGGACACGGCGGTGTCGAAATACCTCATGGAGTGCGAGCCTGGGGGCGAGGAGAGACTGAGACCCGCCCGACCCTCCTCCCCGCGCGGCTCCCCGGGTCCTGCGCCCCCGCCTGCGGTCCCCTCGCTCCTCCCCGCAGAGGCCATTTCCCTCCCGACTCCGCACTCACCGGCCCAGGTCTCGGTCAGGATCAGGGCCCCCGAGAGCAGCAGGAGGAGGGTTCGGGGCGCCATGACCCGCATCTCGTCGTCTGAGGAGACTCTGAGCCCGGATGGGTGCGTGGGGACTTTAGAACTGAGACCGCGGCGACGCTGATTGGCTTCTCTAGACATCCGACACCCAATGAGAGTGGGAACTGGGGACGCGTCACGAGTATCCTGGAGGAAGGACCCGACACAGGTTGGGAGAAGAAGTGAAACTAGGGGAGTGGGGAATCCCCAACTCTGCGCCTCCCCAATGCAGACAAGGCCGGAGACCCTGAGAGCCACGCCCAGGACCTGGGACTTCGTCCTGATCCCTCTTCTCCTACACCAAGCCTCTTTGTCACACTGTCTGCCTGAGTCCTGCACAAAGATCTGTCTGTGGAATCCAGGGAGAGACCCCCAGGCTGCACCCAACCCCTTTCCCTTCCCTACTTGTCCTGGCATCCCCAACCCTGAACTGGACTCCCTGCCTCCCACTCCTTACCTCTCCCCTTGGACCTTTGTACAGGGAAACTCACCACGGGGAACTTCATGCCAGAGAGTGAGCTCGCCCTGGGAATGGAGGTGTAGAGACAGGGGTTTTGTCTCTAAACCTGGTGAAGTTTTGTCTGAAGCCACCACGTAGAGTTTCTCATAGAGACCAGTTTCTTTTTGTTTATTAATACAGTAGGTAGCACAATGTTGGTAATCCCTGAATGATTAGAATTCCAATTTGTAAAAGACCTGTGTCAAAACAGCATTACAAAGCTCCTAAGTTTTACTTTCCCAGACTATGGATCTGTGGCTCTGGGTTGTTGCAATTAAAATTACCTTCATTCCCTAGCCGGAGTTTCCCTGTGTGAGTCCAGAACATCTCCTGAATACAAAGAAGCAGGGTTTGTTACTGTCTATTGCAACTGAGAGCCTGTAGTCATCACCTCAAAGTCGCGAGTGCTCCATGCAGACCCAATGCTCTTCACCGACGCTCAAGCACTGCCTGTTTTCCTGAACTATGCACATCTAAGCAGTGTGCATATTTTATCTGGACACTTGGCATTTTTGTAACTCTTTTTTTTTTTAATCATAAGGAGCCAATTAGTTTTTAGGAAGTCCAACAAAATGTATTGAATACCGAATGCAAAGAACCCCCTGCTAGGCTCTTCCACTGCTTTAGAATTCTTTTCTCTCTCCTTTTCCTCACCTCCTGCTTCTCCAGTTCTTCTCTCTGCCCCTCTCATCCTCACACCTCCCCCTTGCCCTAAATCCCCGCTGCCCTGTCACCTCTGAATCCTGGCACTAACACTGTCCCTCACCTCCTGCCCATGTCTGTTCTCCCCACAGTGCTCAGCGGTCCTGCTAATGTGAGCAAGGTTGTGTCATTTCTTCACTTAACAATGGTTGGATTTTGGTCTACCATTTTGCTATATGTTTTCAATTTGTCTCATATCTTTTTGTTTCTGTTCCTCCTTTGCTACTTTCTTATGTGTCAAATAAACAGTTTTTAGTTTATGGTTTTAATTTTCCGAGTGGCTTTTGGCTATATTTCTTTACACTAGTTTTTTATTGTTGTAAGAATGGAAACCTGATTCCTTGACTTTTCACAGTGAAGTTCAGGTTCTATTAAACTACATCCGGCAAAATAAAGGATACTTGTAACAGTGTAGTTTCCTTTAACCTACCATTATGCTATTATTGTTTTATATATTACATTAATCTATATTATAAACTCAATGATACAGTGTAATACTTTTTGTTTTAGACAAGCAGCCATATGTCTTCAGGAAATTAAGAAAATGAGTGTGAATGTGACACGTGTATGTGCATCATTCCTGTTGTTAATTGTTCCTTTCTGTGTATCTGGGTCACCATCTAGTATCATTTCCCGTCACCCTGAAGAATTTCCTTTAAAATTAAATGTAGTACAGGACCCCTGGGAAATGAATTTTATGGTTTTGATGATCTAAAAATGTCTTTATTTTTGCCTCCCCCCCCCCTATGCTATTATTGTTTTATATATTACATTAATCTATATTATAAACTCAATGATACATGTAATACTCTTTGTTTTAGACAAGCAGCCATATGTCTTCAGGAAATTAAGAAATGAGTGTGAATGACACGTGTATGTGCATCATTCCTAAGTTGTTAATTGTTCCTTTCTGTGTATCTGGGTCACCATTTAGTATCATTTCGTCACCCTGAAGAATTTCCTTTAAAATTAAATGTAGTACAGACCCTGAAATGAATTTTGTGGTTTTGAAGGATCTAAAAATGTCTTTATTTTTGCCTCCCCCACTTTTTTTTTTTTTTTTTTTTTTTTGCTTATTAGGGCATTTATTGTTGTAATAAAAATTCACCAGTTTTAGCTGCGCTTCTTGGTGTATTTTGGTAATTATTTATAGTCATGTAACTACCACACTCCTCAGTAAGAAACACCAATGCAGAGAGAAATGAATTTTATGGCTTTGATGATCTAAAAATGTCTTTATTTTTGGTTCCCTCCTCTTCCCCCCCCTCCTTTTTTTTTTTTTTTTTTTTTTTTTTTTTTTTTGCTTATTAGGGCATTTACGTGTAATAAAATTCACCAGTTTTAGCTGCGCTTCTTGGTGTATTTTGGTAATTATTTATAGTCATGTAACTACCACACTCCTCAGTACAGAAACACCGAATGCAGAGAACCCCCTGCTAGGCTCGTCCACTGCTTTGGAGTCCTTTCCCCTGCTCCTTGTCCTCACCTCCTGCTTCACCAGCCCTTCCCTCTGCCCTCATCCCTCACACCCTCCAAGAATGAGATGGGCTGGACAGGAAGGATTTTTGTTTGTTTTCTATGAATGAATGTAACTGTTTATTATGATAGAGTTGTTTTATTAAAGAAATAGATGAAAATGGTTAAGTAAAATCAAAAGGCTCTAAAAGTCTTACAATGAAAGCAACAGTCCTGCCAGTTGTTCTTTCCAGAGACAAGCACTTTTCATTCTCTCAGTTTTTCCTTACTCTGCTAGGCTCGGCCCACTGCTTTGGAGTCCTTTCCCCTGCCTTGTCCTCACCTCCTGCTTCACCAGCTCCTTCCTCTGCCCTCATCCCCACTCTCCAAGAATGAGATGGGCTGGACAGGAAGGATTTTGTTTGTTTTCATGAATGAATGTAACTGCTTATTATGATAGAGTTGTTTTTATTAAAGAAATAGATGAAAGTCAAGTTAAGTAAAATCAAAAGGCTCTGTAAGTCTTACAATGAAAGCAACAGTCCTGCCAGTTGTTCTTTCCAGAGACAAGCACTTTTCATTCTCTCAAGCCTTTCTTCATTCTCTCAGTTTTTCCTTCTGGTAGTTGCCTTCATGGGTTTTTTCAAATTATTATTTTTTCAGTTTTTCAAGTGGGTGCATATATTAATACATGTAATTTTTAAAAGCCTCTTCTGTTTATAATGCATCCTAACAGTTCCCTGCCCCGTCCCTCCTAATCCTCCAGAGCAATGACTTTTAACTCTTTTAGCAATGTCTTCTTTCTCCTCATATAACTACTTAGTCATTTCTTGATTATTTTATACATTTTATAGTGATTTCTTGAATGACAGATGAGGATTTAGCTCTTACACCATCACTATCTTCACTTTTCCTCCCATATTGTCCCAAAGTAGTTACCAGAGTTAGGGGCTAAGCAGTCACCGCATCATTATGACTATGTACATATTGCTCATTGTTGAGAAAAACAGAGTATTGTGCTCTTGCTTCCTATCCGGTACTTCCTTCTGCCCTAGAATTAATGATTGCCTAACCACCCTTCCCCCTTGTTTTTTTTCACTTTTCCTTTCTCTTCAATGAACTTCTTTCCAAATGCCCCAAATCTGGCAATAACCTATTATTATTTTTAAGAGAAGGAACCTCACTATGGTGGCCAGGCTGGTGTGGAAATGTTGGACTCAAGACAACCTCTTGCTTTTACCCTCCTGAGTAGCTGGGACTGCGGGCATGAGCCATTCCACCCAGCTAACCTATTAATATTTTTACTGTTTTTTTTTTTTTTTTTTTGTAAGCCAGCTGCATAGCTGGAATATGTCCTGTGTTGGATTCTATTTGCTGGATCCATGTCATTCTCTGGTTTGTCTCCTCCTTCATTTTGCTGGAGTATTTTCTCCAATAGCTTCCCAAGAAAGGGTTCATGGAGGTAACCCCTGAGTCTTTGCTTGCCTAAAAATGTATTATTTTACCTTCACCCTTGATTATTTGGTAGAATATAGATTTATCCGTTGAAAATCACTTTCTTTCTAGAATTCTGAAGTCATGCTTCCATTGTTTCCAGCTTCTTTTCGAGGCAGGGTCTCTTCTGTCACCCAGGCTGGAGTGCAGTGGCACAACCACAACTCCCTGCAGCCGTGACCGCGCGGGACTCAGTTCATCCACCTCAGCCCCGGAGCAGATGGGACTACAGGTGGGCGCCACAACGCCCAGCCAACTTTTGTAGTTTTTGGAGAGATGGGGCTTCACCATGTTGCCCAAGCTGGTCTCAAGGGATCTGCCTGTCTCTGCCTCCCAAAGTGCTGAGCCAATGTGTTACAGGCGTGAGCCACTGTGCCTGGCCAGTTTTTCTTTTATTCTCTCTCTTCTTCCTTCATTTCTCAAAAG